ATCTTATTTAATAATTTTTATTCTATTTTCTTAATCAATATTTTAATTGATTATAAATCTTTGTAGCCTTGTAGTCAATTAGATTTTTTTTAAATACTACTTAATATATATATATATATATATATATATATATAAAAACGAGCCGAACACGAACGAACACATCTTAGTTCGTGTTCGGCTCGTTAACTTATTGAACGAAACTAACGAGTCAAACACGAGCTTCTTAACGAGCCGAACACCAGCTGTTCGCGAACAACGAGCCGTTTTGACAGCCCTACTTACATTTACAGAGAAATATAGATTCTGTCTCTTATGTATATAAACTGAACTGTTGACTCGTCTACATAACTGGACGAAACGTGGGAAACGATGCAATTTCATGATTTTTTTTTTCTTTTTTAAAGTAAATTTTGACTTTATATGTCTCATCAAACATATAGTTGGTCAAATATCCCACTACGTTTGTTTAAAACATGTGCAGAATTGAATTGATGACACTCTTGAGTTGGAACCGAGTGTATAGAAAAACGAAACCAGAGAATAGAAAGTGTAAGGAAAATTTCACTTTCTGTAAAAATGAATAATATATTATATGAGTTACATTTGGTTGTACGTATAGGCAAAGGTATTCATGAAGTAGTTTGGTTGGTGGTGGATCCGACGGTACATATGCTTTCTTTTGTTACTTGATGGATGGCTATGATTGAGACGGTTCATATAGTGCTTGAGCCTAAGCAGCGACTTTGTCTGTTGGAGTGATCGTGTTGTGATTCTTCTTGCATGTTTATGGTTGATCATGAAGCAGAGTTGGCATGAACCAGGTGAAGATATACGCTAGTTGATGTAGAATAAAGATGTGATGAACTATAACATTATTAGATTTGATGCGGTATATGAGGAAATGGTAATTAATTTCGATGTGCTTTATTCGGGTATAGAACACTAGAAAGTTTGCGAGAGCCGGTGCTGAGATTTTGTTATGGTGTAGAGGTTTGGGTGTTCCTGATCTAGATGGAAGTCGAGTAGGAGACGGGAAAGCCAAATATTGCCAATGGCTGCTATGGTGAGGAGCTCGTGTTTTATTTTTATAGAAGATCGAGAGACAATTAGGTATTTCTTGACTGGCTAAGAGATGAGGGTGCATCCTTAAAATGTGCAATAGCCATATTCGAGGTAAATGAAGTGAATTTTGGTGGATGATGTAGGCGTTGATTGATATGTGTGAAAATTAATGTATTTTATTTGGTTTTTTTCTTGCAATTTGTTTCATTTTAAAGCTTTTTTGTATAAATATTTGTTTTTATATTTGCATGATACATGTGGAAAATACATTATGGAGTGGTATTTCACACTTTTGACTAATTAAAAAAAATGTTGTGATGTTAAAAACTGTTTCTGGTTCACTTGCTCAACATATTGCTAACAGAATTCATATGCATCATAATACTAAACGAGAAAATCTTTGTAATTCCTTTCTCAAACAATCTCAGTCTTTGTTTGCCTGGAGATTGAATTATAAACTATTACCTGTGGATGTTATCTTAAAATTAAAAGGACATAGATTCTCTTCTTGTTGCCTTATGTGCAGGCAAGATGAGGAGCAGTTCAATCATCTTTTTTTCTCTTGCAGGTTTGCCTTGGATATTTGGAATAATATAGCTTCTGCTTTTGGTATTTTTCTACCTCATAAGGGTTATAATTCTTTAGAACGGTGCAAAAATTGTTGGCATCCTAATAGTGACAATTGTAAAAGCATAATACATTTGATTCCTTATCTAATTTATTGGTTTTTGTGGTTGGAAAGAAATAAGAGCAAGCATCATAATTTGGTCTTTCCAACTGATAGATTTTTGGTTCAAATGAAGTCCTTTGTTACAAAGACTTCTAAATAATTGTATTTTGATAAAATGGGAGAAGCCCACTCAGCCTTATCTAAAGCTAAAAGTGGATGGTAGCCTTAAAATACATTTTGTTGGTGCCTTCCGAATTCTTAAAGACCAGTTGGGGGTTGGTCTACTGTCTTTTTATGCTCTACGTGCTCCCATTTCAGCTTTCTTTGCTAAATTTAGTGCTCTTTATTATCGTATGCTAGTTGCAAAACATCTCAAATATCTATAGCATAAGCATTGAGATGGATGACAGTTCTTTATTTCAAATTGTCAAGAGGAAAATCAATTGTTATGGGAACGTTATTTTAATCTGGAATAAGATTAAGAAGATGTTGCCAAATTTCAATTTACATTAGTCTCTTGTATATAGGGAAGCAAATAAACCACTAGATTATCTTGCTAAGCTGGGAGCTAATACTAGGGAGGTTTATTTGGTTTCTGTTTTTTATTCTAAGCTAAAGATACAGCTACGTGGGGACTATCCGTATATCCCCCATATCAGAACCCTTCACTGAAAATCTGCTGTCGTATCTCTGTTTTACCTTGACACATATCATTCATATATCCTGATATATGAATGATATATATATTTTTTATGGATTGTCCGCCTGGTTTTTTATTGTTGCGGGTATTATAAATGGGTTTTGATAATTTGATGTTGTTTACTGAAGCTAATACTGGTTTGAAATTGAATTATGGGAGTATATACTAGTGACCTAAATTGACTGGCATTGGACTCTTGGGATTTTTGATGCTGTTAAATGCTTTGGAATTATGAATGGGTTTTGATGTGTTGATGTTGTTGTTGAAGCTATTTACTGGTTTGGAATTGATTTTGGGAGCAAATGTTGGTGATCTACTCACCGACTGGATTTGGATTCTAGGAACTGATGTTGTTTAGCGGCTGTTGTTTCCCGGTGCTGTTTAATGTTTTGGTTTTGGATTTTTGGAGATCCTTATTGCTTAAGGAATGCACCAAATGATTTAGACAACTGGGCTTTTATCCTGACCTTGGCCTTGCCTTTATTCTATTTTCTTAGCTCATTTTCAATTTTTTTTTTTTTTTTTTTTTTGAGTTGCATCCTAGGATGGAGGATCCATAGGTTTTTCTTTTTCTTTTGGTTTTGTAAAGGGTATAGATTGGAACCTCTATCCTTCCGTATGTAATCTTTTTTATGATTTTATGATGTAATAAAATTCCCTCTGGGATTCCTTAAAAGAAATGCATGTGGAAAATATTGATTAGATGACAAATGCAAATTTTGGGCAAGCACCCAACGCCCAGTAGCATCAGTAGAGTAGCTCCATAATGCCCGAAGACGGATTTTTTTTATGTCGAACACTTGGCATCAAGGTACTACGGCACCACAGACAAACACTTCGACACCCATACGACAACGCCCCAGTGCCTTTAAAAGGTAGTGCCAAGACTTTCATGCCCTAATTCAAAGTCGAATTCACGAAAAGAGATGCTCAAACGCATCCTGTAGTAGCATCGTAACGTCACAAAGGAGCACCCCAATGCTCAGCACTGACATCAATTTGTGTAGTTCCAGTGATGATTTTGCTGGAATTCTTATAAGAAGACTTATTTTAACGCAATAAGGAACTTTTGGATACTTCTATATTTCTTATTTTCTATAACTCAGTTTAGCAAACTGAGTTGACCCTACAGACCTGAAGCTGATTAAACTTAACCGGTTGAGCCAGAAAGCCGTCGAATGAAAGCTCATACATGTAAAATATATGAAATACCCGTGTCCCCTACACACGCACATACAATTCTAGATAATTTAAATGAAGGAGCGAGCCAGAGCCAGAGCCAAAGCCATACTATCTATTATCCACTAATTTATCCATTGCATTTATCCAAATCACTACCCCCTCCCCATAATTCTAAAAAATTTAGATGGAGGAGCAAGCCAAAGCCAAAGCTCTACTAACTATTATCCACTAATTTATTCGTTGCATTTACCTATATCATTACCCACTCCCTTCATAATGAATTTGTCCTAAAGGTAAGGCAATCATAGAAAAATGATGAGCTATCAATAGAGGGCCACATTATTGTAGACTAATTCAGATGAAAGCGGAGTTTTATGCAAGTTTGTGAAGTAGCAAAGGTTACAAGCAAGAATAAAGCCTAACTACCTTATATCCACTAATATGAATCTGAATAAGGAGATGAAATGAACGAGAAGTTAGGCTTAGGAGATAAAAAGAATGTGAACAAATTTATTAGGATTTCAGAGATAGATTTGGTTCTAATTGAATTAGTTATAAGAGGGTGCAAATGGCTTGTAGATCAACAACAATGAAATGGAAATCTATAAATCCAAGCGCGAGAAGTTAAACATGTCGGTGATCTATCGATCGAGGTAAAGATGATGGCATCAGTAGCTTAATCTAGCAAAACTTGTGGTAAAATCTACACAACTTTAAAGATTGTAAATCAGGGCTATGGACAACAATCAAATTTGAGGGTGAAGCTTGACAGACCTTATGATGTAGTTATTTTAAAAGGATGAAAAAGTTGACTCCTAATAACAGCGTATATCATTTGATTTAAGGTTTGAGATTTGAATACAAACTATTGGATGGTGAAGATGATGTCATGGAAAATGGATCTATGATTTATGGAGTAAGAAACTAAAGTAGGGTTTTCACTTGCAAATTTAATTAGAAGATAGAGAATACTATTCTTAATGTGATATTAAAAAATTGAATGCTATGCGTAAAAACAAGAGTTTCAAGAGTTTAGGAGTGAGATATGTAGATAAATAAGACTTCATGGGTGAAAATATTTCAGGGGCATATACTCACTGCCCACCCAATTTCTATATATTTACATATCTAACACCTAAACTTTTACTCCTTATATTTATAGCAATCAAATATTTCGTATCAAAAATAACATTATTTTAATTTTAAAAAAGTGATGCACCTTTTCATGTCAATTACAAGTAAGGTGGCATAGATATAAAAATTAAAGTTTAGATATTAGATATGTAATTACATAAGAATTAAGTGGCATGCATGTAAATCTTCCAAAATGTAATGCATAATAATACCGCCAGTCAAAACAAAAGAAAAAAAGAACACTACAAGGGCTCAAAAAACTTCACATTACATCAACTTAATCTTGAAAAAAGCCATGAAAATGACTCGGTCTGCAACATAAAACTATAGCAAAATAAAATGAAAAATCACTAAGAAATTCATTCGCTTAGCTTCGGCCTCTGCACGTGAAAACCCGTGATACATGGAGGTCTCTCAAGGAAGAGATTCAGCAATAAAAAGCTGTGATTTTTATACCCAAAAGGAGGAACTATCTAAAGCCCAAAGTCTCCCGAATCCTTCAGCTATATGAACTTCAGTACTACATGTACGGTCAGTAACTTAACCCCAAATAGCTTGAAAGAGAGCAAAATCATTCAGTTAAAAGTATAACCTTGCTGTAAGAAGAATGCTAGTCATGGCAGAGGAAAAAAACCTCACTCTCAGCATTCCCAGAACAAAAATGGAGTTAAAGGCAGTCAGCTGCTCCAGTTACAGGAATGGAAGACTGGTTAAACACATTTTGTGGCTTCTTACAGTTCCGCATGCCTTCTAGTACAGCGTTTCCTGCTGTTGGTTCTAACAAATGTACTAAAGATAGAAAAACATCCATCCTTGTAATATCCTTATTTGCCTAAGCCAAATGGAATTCAGACACTGAAATTTTAACAAAAAACAAAAAGAGTATAGCTATGGGAAAATGAAAAAAAGAAAAATTACCTCAACTGCGAATCGAGCCCACACTTTTTCATCACGAGCTTCCATAACTCCTTTCAAGATAGTCAATCCTAAGCCTCTAATTAAGTCAGCAATCTCAAGGAAGAGACCTCTTTTCTCACAGAGCATCTGCGGAGAAGCATTTGAGTTTTAACGGCTAGTTACACTGATACATAAAAGAAAAGGAATGGAAAAGAGAAAAAAAGAACCTCTACAAGCATGTGTCGAGGAGTGCTAAGATCTTCAACTACGATGGGGCAGATCACAGATTGGCTGCCAACCTCGAATGCCCATGTTGCGCCGCCATCGAAATTGTCCTTTAGGAGCAGGCCCTCATCCTCACTGATGATCTAAATGTGTCAATTACAATAAATTAGGATGGGTAATGCGTAAGAATGCATGTGCATTGCTGAGAAAATGCAAATTATGGCTGGGTAGTGATAAGAAGAACACATGAACCAGTAAAAACGAATTCTCATGGACGATAATATATAAATATGCAGTTTTACAAGAACGAGTTTGGAATGTATAACATGCACGGTTCACAAAGCATAATAAATTGATTTCTTTAGCTTGTAACAACTGAATTCTACCTGTTGATTCCCTTAATTACACTTAATTTTACTCATGACAGTTCGATTTACTCAATTGTATAATCAGTACCATCCAAAAACATAAACAAGTTATTGCTCTTAATCCAAGAAATCAATAAAGAAACTATTTGATTTAAAATTTAATAATTGTCATTTACAAAAGAAATAACTTCTTTGTAACAGATGCTTTTTTGATAAAATGGAATTTTGATGATGATGTCCGCCGAAGCATATATGATAAATACAATAGAAAGGAAATAAAAGGAAAGAATAAATATAATAAAGGGGGAATGACATAATTCATCTCAAAATAAATGCTCTACTTGTATCATGATATTTTGACATAACTTCCTAATATGCTAAAACTCCATCTCAAACTAGAGGATACTTTAAATGATACATAAATAAAAAATGGTACATGACTTGGACTTTGATGAAAGATATCCATCACTTGTTTTGAACTAGAAACATGAGTGACATTTCATTTTGGTGAACATTTCTTTTATGAAACTGATCTGAAAACAAATGTATTATTTTTCATTGTTAACATGTTTTATTTCGTGATTATGATAGTTTTACACTTGTGGAAGGTATATTTATTTTGTATTGCCGGATACCAGGTGTGTAGCAAGCTTAGGGGAGCTAAAGAATGAAGATGAACCAAATAACGCAGACACACCCGCACAGGTCAGAGCAAACCCACACCTCCATCCAGCGAGGCGGCGCACCAACGTCGTATCCTGGCACACCTGTGCCACCAATCCGAGAAGGCGACACGCCCGGGCGAAGACTGAGCGCATCCGCGCCAGTCCCCAGAGGAAGCGACAAACCAACATCAAGCAGTGACGTGGAGTCTCCCCATTATGCATGAAACTTAATTTGGAAGATTTTGATGTGGATTTTGGAGCCCTTGCTAAATAAAGAGAGGTCGTGGACGTGAAGAAGAATTCGTACGTGATTGGAGGCTGCTTCTACTTGTCTTTGGAGAGACTTGCGTTGTGTCATAGGGTTTCCTCCTTAAGCTTCCTTGGGAGAAAGATTCTAGGTTTTTTCATTTGAGAATTTTGGAGAGTTGGAGAGAGTGAGAAATTTGAGTGCTTGTCTGATGGAGATCGACGTGTGGTGCTTGCATTGTAGGGGGAAGATTGAGGTATACTTCAGGCCAATGAATTTTTGGTTTGAGTTTGTGTACTTGTTTACATGAAATCTTTTATTCAATGAAGCTTTTGATTTCTACTATCATGTATAGTAGCTAAATATTTCCATGCTCCTGTGATTAGGATAGGTGAATGAATTGTATGTTTTACCCAAGAGTTTTTCCTAAATATTTTTGTGTTCTATTATTTAAATTTTATTGATGTGTTAACCTTTCGATCTTCGATTACTTTTAGCCAAGTCAGTTAGAAAGTTAAAACCGCTTTTGATCAAGGACTTCTAACCGTTTACTACAAGAACAAGTAGGTTAGCACACGGTCACCTAATGAAATAGACATATTTCTAGTAAGAGATTGCAATCTAGATAAAGGACTAAAAGATTCCTAGGAAACTTTGCATGATTAAACCCCCTTAATTGTAATATAATTTTTCAATGTTTCTTATGACCTCAATAGAGGCTAAGAAGGATTTATTCCTGATTGTTAACAATAACGTGGGGACCTCATAATAAAACTTTGAGAATTCACATAATCTGAGTAACAAAAGTGATTTTCATCACCTCTGAAAAATTTCAACGCCTTCTGCACATTGAAACGTTTCAAATTCCACTTAGGGTTTAGTTAACTAGAGCTTCGCAAATAAGAAAATTTACTAGTTTTCTTGAGAGAACAACACACGAACTCATACTCGTATATTTCTTGAGCGACACATCTACTTGCAAGATTGCCGCCTGCTTCACAATAATTTCGGGCATCATAAATAACAATCAAAACTCGATATGTTTAGTTCTTTTAAAAAACATTGAATTCCTGGCAAATATGCATAATACCATCGGTATCACAATTTTAAAACAATAGCTCAATTATTAGAAAACTAAATTATTCTAGTAGTACCTTGTCCCACACATTATTTCACATGTAGTTTGAGAAGTCACTCTATACTCCGCTTAAACACTATATCTACCAAAAACATTTTGCTTCCTACTCTTCCAGGTGGCAAAGATTATTTCTTACAAAAATAAAATATCCAAATATTGCCTTTCTATCATCAACAAATCCAGCATAGCTGGCATTCGTGAATGCTTCAAAATTTAAATTTTCAATCGAATTATATGGCAGCCCCTTTCCGGGAGCTATATTAAACTATCTAAGACTGCAAAGAGCAGGATCACAATGCTTTCGTTTTGGATTCCACATATGCTGCCTTATGGCCACAATATCAAAACAAATATTTTGTTAGTATAACTATCAAAAAAATCAATTTTCAACTAAGCTTCGATATTGAGATGAATCAAAGTAGGGTCAATCCTCATTTTAATTTTTTAGAATGGTAAATCCTCATTAATTAAGTTTTGATTATCCAAAGTGTCACTTTAGTTTTGCACCCTAAAATCCAATTTCCTCAAGATGATTGATAGCATATTTTCATGTAAGCAAATTCAATCCCCTAAGGGTATTTAGGATGCACTGAGTTTTTATTACCAAGTGAGTCTATATAAGTAGTGTTTTACTTTAGATATATCATCTTAATTACTTCTAGTGAGATTATCAACAAGATATTCTGCTAATGAGTACTGACGCTTGGTAAGGAGATTATAACATGTATATCCATTTTAAGCTCAAGAGTAAACAATGCATATAGAAGTGGCACTAGGAGAGCATATAATGTGGACAAACATGAACAAAATAAAGGCAACAAAACACTGCTGGGGTAAGAAAATAAATAGATCAGTAGAAAGAATGGTAATTAGCAATCAATCATTGAGAAGTGTAAATGTTATATGATTAATAAGCTAATAAACAAGGACCAAATCCCCAAAAAGAAGTTGGTGCACATTCAAGTGAAACATTAGTATTGGCTCCATTGCGGAGTTGAATCTCATATTCTACTGTTCCATTTTGCTAAGGTACATAGACAAGGTTTATGAAAATTGTAATTTTCATAGCAAAAATTATGAAATTTGATTTGCATGTATTTTTAAGAATTATCAATGCCCAATAAATTTTAATCAAGTAGAAAACCAAACGTTGTTTCTTCATAAAACTTCCGAGATAATATCAAGAACTTCTAACTGACATTCAAATAAATACATTTGTGTGATATGAGAATGATCATGACTCAATATAAGAGTAAACTAACTGAGGAGGATTAAATAACAACTAATAGTGAATGATAGGAATGGCAAATGATAATGTTTAAACTAACTTCATAAGCTGAGCATTAAAATTTGAAAGTGAAATAACAAATTACTCAAGTAAAGCAAGAGAAGAATGTCACAATAATCAATGAAACAAATAAAGAGTAATAGAGGACGTAAAAAGCAAAAGAAGTGTTTGTTATTAACTAATAGAAATCTCAAAATTCAACACCCCTACCAATTATCTTCTTTGACCGAGGATTAAATAACGACTAATAGTGAATGATGGAAATGGCAAATGATAATGTTCAAACTAACTTCATAAGCTGAGCATTAAAATTTGAAAGTGAAATAACAAATTACTCAAGTCAAGCAAGATGAGAATGCACAAGAGTCAATGAAACTAATAAAGAGTAATAGAGGATGTAGAAGCAAAAGAAGTGTTGGTTATCATTTAGTAGAAATCTCAAAATTCAACACCCCTACCGATCATCTTCTTTGACCGAGGATTAAATAACAACAAATAGTGAATGATGGGAATGGCAAATGATAATGTTCAAACTAAGTTCATAAGCTGAGCATTAAAAGTTTAAAGTGAAATAACAAATTACTCAAGTCAAGCAAGAGGAGAATGTCACAAGAGTCAATGAAACTAATAAAGAGTAATAGAGGACGTAGAAGTAAGAGAAGTGTTTGTTACCAATTACTAGAAATCTCAAAATTCAACACCCCTACCAATCATCTATTTTGACCGAGGATTAAAATGACAAATAGTGAATGATGGGAATGGCAAATGATAATGTTCAAACTAACTTCATAAGCTTAGCATTAAAATTTGAAAGTGAAATAACAAACTACTAAAGTCAAGAAAGAGGAGAATGTCCCAAGCGTCAATGAAACTAATAAAGAGTAATAGAGGACGTAAACTCAAAAGAAGCGTTTGTTATTAATTAGTAGAAATCTCAAAATTTAACACCCCTACCAGTCATCTTCTTTGACCTGAAATCCTATATGACGCAATGAGTAAAATAAGAGATTACTATTCAATTATGGACTATAATAAACAATATGTAAATAATAAATTTACTGAAAACTTGGGAACATTTATACCCAAGAGTGTAAAATTTCAAGAGAAGTGGATGGCGCCTCCTCCAAAAAGAAATGAGGAATTATCCACAATAATGATAGGCTGCAGAACAGACATGCAATCAATTAAATAAATGCACCTGAATTTAAAATCTAAGAAATAACAGTGAAGGGCACTGCAACAATGTTTGAGGGGCATGTGGCTTGAAAAGCTGAGAGGTCTTCATTTGTTAAAGCAGCTAAAATTACTAATCTTTAAGAAAAAATCACACAACCAAAGCAACATAAAGGCCTTCTTTTTTCAATATGAGGAGAGATCAAAGCCATGATAGCTGCAAAAGGCTCAACTAAGGGTGCAAGAGACAGTGGAGGTATCGACAAAGGTTATCCATGAAGAGTATCAACTAAAAGATTGTTAGGTGTTTGGATATTCTGAAAGGCCAAATACATGATAACTTTGAAGGTGCAATATACATGATATACCTTTGCAGGTGTCACCATTTGTAGTGAGATTGCCAAAGTTAAGAAGATCAGACATAAAATTGTATATTTCTTGCCTTCACATGCAAAAGCACCATTAGATATCTTATGGGTTTAATTGAGGGACCGTTGTCGACAACCAGGCCTATTTGTTCAAGCCCCTCAACAAAATCAAAAGGAAACAAAGAGGTTTGTGTATTGAAACTTCATTGAAAAGATAACTTATCACTCAAATTAGCAAAATAGAAGTTTTTCTAGTTTATCCCAAAGGAGAAGAATAGACAACATACCTTAGGCCTCCCGGTTTCCTTGAGCTTATCAGCATGTTTTGTGACACTTTGCAAGAAAAGCATGTGCTTGATGGTTTTTTCCAGTAAAGCATCAATGCTCATCTGAATTGAGTGATTGAATAGACAGCATGCACAGTTTAAAGATTTAAAATATAAAACATCTCATCGTTATGAAATGAAAATAAATGCTTCCATGTAATACACCAACAATTAACAGTCACCTTAGCTCCATTGGGTACAATTTCCCGTAGTTCCTTGACACGGTCCTGGATCATCTGGCGATCTTTCGGCCTTGGTCGTGGATTTTCTCCTGTTCTCGACCTTTTTCTATTCAGCTTACCCGCATCATCAATTTTTTTACAATTTGCAGAAGACATCCCATCACAAGTCATATTCCTAGCCTTTCCAACCCATAAACTGATTTGTGATTTAGATTTTTCATCCCCCAGGGAGCATAAACCTTCAGATCTCTCCCTGCTGCATTCAGATGTAAACGAACTTGTGCCAGCTGTCTGTAATTTAGTAATATTTGGAGACTTCCCTACAAAATTTCCTGCTAATTGCTCTGATAAAGCTGCCATATTACATTGTGTAGAGCTGTTGGGAAGCGAAACATTGCTTGTTTTTGTTGATGCCGTATTACAAGAAACATTATCATCGGAGATGAGCTTTCTATTTGGCTTCATCTGTGAAACTATAGCATCCAACAGTTGATCGCTACCACTTTCACAGAAAAGCCCACCACTACATGAAATTTCATCATTTAATATATCACCAATAACTGCATCTACCTGTCTTACGCAAGCAGGAACATCTGCGCTCAACTCACAAACTTCCATGCCATTCAAATTTACAAAAGAATCCTCCAGAAGACTGTAACTGGCATTAGATACCTGATCAAGATCAAATGGATCAAATAAAATGTTTTCAGCATTTTGTTGTTGCATATCAAAAGTTGTTTTTATGCTTGAAGGAGGCAATATTTTGGGGTTATAAGCAACCACACTGTACTGAACACTAGCTTGAGAAACAGAACCATTAGGATCCTGATTGTTTGCTGAAACTAGATGATAATCATACCAATCATCTCTTTTAGAAATATTATGCAATCTGTCTCTAGATCCATCAAGAGCTTGACATTTTATGTTTTCATCCTTTTCTTTATTGAGAGAAAACAAAGTTGAAGAGATTTTACCAGTGGAGGTAGACTGAGTCTGGCTAAAGCCACAAGAAAGCATACGAACCCTATCTAAATCATCTGTTAGGCTTTGTATTTGAGATGCATTGCTTTCAAAAGAAATTTCACTTCTGATGCATTTCATTACACCACTAGAAAGTGAACAACTATTTCCAATATTCTCTTTCTTATTGGATGAGCTACTTCTACCAAATGATGAAGCTGACTCAGAACATCCATGGGAATCATAGAGTTTAGATTCATGAGTTCCAAGGTGAGGTAAGCTAGAGCTGTCCACCATAGCTTCATGGTTGCCAGCAGATCCATGTGCTGTCCCTTGATCTGTCCTGAATTGGTTTTCAAGGGATTTCAAATGACCAGCAAACAAACTTCCATTCACATCTTCAGATCGACAATGATTCCCATAGCCCAAATTCTGAGGCAAAGATTTTTCACTTATCATGGAATTAGAAGCTGAAAATGTCCCCGGATGTTCCAGACACTCACTTTTTAGCTGGTTATTTGAATAAAGATTAGGTTGAACAATATGGCAAGTTGATTGGGAGAAGTTGCAAAAAGGCAACATTTTCTTTGAGCTAATGTTGCTGTCAAGCAACATTTGTTGAGATGAGAGAGGAACCTTATTAAGTGAAGATGTAAATAAAGATGAAGTTTTGGAAGTAAATCTGGGGTCATGGCCTCTGAAAAGTTGATCTACCTCATGAAGATTGTGAGAAAGTAAGCCATCTACATTACTACTGACATTTCCAAACTGACTAGAGGATGGTTGTGTAATATCTAGTATCGGGGGCTTCTGGTTCAAGATGGTACCACTACCATCACATAAATTTGTTCCTGCCATGCTTCCCGGTTGCATAAATAAATGTTGCACAAAATTAACAAACCCAATTTCCTCAAAAATCTGCATAAACAGACAATTATTGCACATTAGCAGAATCCCAAAAATAAATTACCTAGCATAAGACTATAGCACTTTCTTTTCTAGTTTTTTTGTGAGCAATATTACAGCTCAGGAGCTTGAGCTGAACAGGACAATGGGGTTATAAAAGGGAATGCCCGGTGCATGAAACTCAAAAAATGTAGGGTAAGATGATGGGGTTATCTAGAATCTTATTATAACTAGCCAAAACGTGAAGTTGAGCTAGTACTTTCAAACTTTCTCTTTCTACAGTTAAAAAATAGTTTTTGAGGAGTCAACACAAAAAAAAAAAAAAATTTAAAACACACAAGAGGCAGATCCGTGCTTTGCTCAAATGCATCTATTCACTAAAATTCAGTTTTAAGTAATACCAGAAAATTTCAATTCTCATGATGCTTGTAAGTGCAAAAAGGTGAGAGAACTCAAAAATGCTCTACTCTAGAATGATAATAATCATATGACCGACAATTAAAAGCATGATATCGGTTGTTGAATAATTGTGGAAAGATATGTTCAATCTCAACATGAAGGGAGGTTTAGAAAAAGAGAGTAAGAGAAGGGGACATTACCAGCTGGGTGGAACCAAGTTGAAGAACGCCTTGTGGAAGGATAGGAATAACAGCTATTGTCTGTAAAAACATTAAAAAAGTTTAAAACATTCCACATCAAAGAAAAACAATCTTCTAAGAAATAAGTACCTGGATGCCTGCCAGAAATTGTTGATTTATCTCAACTAAATCCTGTAGGAATAAGAGAAATCCAAAAAGAAACTTGTTAAAATATCCAAATATATAGTTCTAGGTCTATTGCATGAAGATATAGTAACATAGTCTACACTAAGCTTCAATATCAAACAAGATTTTATTTACACTCACAAAATATACTTTCAATACCATTGTTGAACCACGAAAGTATACAAAGCATGGGTAGCAAGATATTTTCACTATGGTTGTTGGATTCAAGAAAATATACTGTATAACTCCCACATATTAGTATCATCTCATCATGTAAAAATGTCTGTAAATCCTTACCTTCCCTTGTTAATTAACTCCAATAGATATTTCACAAGCTCAATTCCTCAGTTAATCAATCATCCCAAAATTCTACTGCTAAGAAAGAAATAATTCATTACGAGATATAATAAATAGCATTGTGCAAATATCCATTTTTCTTAACAACTCTTTAAAGTTTCCAGCTTTTCCAAATAAGAATGGCACCACTTTCCAAAATTAGAATCATTTAATTATGTCAAGGACTCTGATTTTGTTTATCAAATTTAATCAAAGAGCTTGCCCAAGAATTTTCATAAAAAGTACACATCAAACCACAAAAACAAATTGAGTTCATTAGGAGTGAAACTTAAACAATAAATATACCTTGGTTGCTGAAAATTTTTGATTAAGCTTGCCTTGAAGAATCCAGTTATGTCTCCCTGTTGAAACAGCTTTCCCAACTACTCTGTGAAACCAACACAAAGTGATAGAAGTCACATGTAAAGATGAATGACCTCTACAATGAATCCGAACAAAAGGACAAAATACAAATCTAGAAGAGTAACAAGCAGACAAATTTTAGATCTTAAGAAGAAGAAAAATCTGCTTACCCGTCTCCCACAACATGAACTTGGCTCGTCATACTCCTATGAACCAGCGCGTAGATTCTGTCCTCAGTGGAGCGTCCAAGCTCAGTAAAACGTTCCTCACACCGAGAACCACGGAGAAGCCCCTTCTCCTTAATGAGTAAATCCATAGCTTCAAAACCGGATATTGCGCCATGCATTCGTCCACAATAGCCATCCTCCCAGATCAAACACCTAGAAAATTTTCCAGAAAACAATAAAATTTCTTCCTTTCTCATAAGAAGAGTTTTGCAAACATACTTTCGTTTGATAAATTCCAGCAGATGAAAACCGCTGTGACGGTTCTAAAAAGCCCATTATCAGCTCATAAATCGCACAAATAAAATTAACTATTATACTAGATTCGGGAGCTCCGTAAGAAACTAAAAAAAAGGAATAAAGGTAAAATCTCACCCCCAAGCTTCAAACGCTAAACCCTAAAAATCCAAACTTTACCTCTGTTCCTGTAGACCAACCGCCCTCCAAAAAACAGCATAAGACCACCCAATCTCGACGCAGAGCCGCTTCAACACGTCTCCGAGTGCGAGCCCCATCACTGTACTACCTCGCTCGAAACGCTGAGTCTGTTATGCCTCCTCACAGAGAAAAATAGGAAGAATCCGATAATGCCTGCTAGCCCCCGTGAGCTCTTAGCTACCTCTGCAAGAACCTCTTCCCGCTTGCTTCGCTCGAAGCCCCTCTCGCCGCTTCCTCGCCGCTCGTCGGCGACCCATGGACTGGCAGAGCGCCGCCGGAGAGTGACCACTGACTAGAAAGTGAAGAATATCATAGAAAGACGAGACCTTTCAATCCTGTTTCAGCGACGCCTACACATCGGTGCTGATGGCTCTAGTACCGTGGCCTGTCATCATTCGCTTCATCCGGAGATGAATCGGAAATCGAGGAAATATTCTATTCAATTCGACAGGTATGTGTGCGAGCGCGAGAGAGAGAGGGGGTGAAACAAAGTGGAAATTTTTAATGTGGAGGAAAACGTACGGCGGCCTGGCAGGGCTACCGCCGGCTCGACCTACGCCGGAATCAGCTTTTATGTGCTCCGCCGGAGCATAATGAAATGTTCATAATAATATAAAATTTACCTATTTTTAAAAGTAAAATTACAGTGCATGACACCTAATTTTTATGGATTTAACTTTCTCTCACCCATGGCTTTCAGTTTCAAGGAAAATATTTGTGTACATAAGACGTACGTAACGTTGCATACATCCAAGGGTTATTCAGAAAGTAGAGAGGGGTTATATCGAGGTTATCCTCTCTGTAACCCTCCTGTAATCTCTTTGTAAACTACCTATAACCTACAAATGAGTTCCGACAAATGAGTTCCAACCTACAAATGAGTTCCGCACTTCTGTAATTTCATGGGTACAAATAAGTTACACAGAGGTTACAAGGGAGTTATACGGAGGTTACAGGAGGGTATAACTCGAATATAAACCTCCTATACCCCCTAAATAACCTCCGACATATGCAGCGCTGCGTACGTTTTATGTACGCAAATATTTCCCAGTTTCACAGATAGCACTTTATGTATAGTAAAAAAAAAATTGAATTTAACTCTTAAATAATGATAATAAGTATTAATTTTCATTTGATATTTATAATTATGAAAGTTTTAACTATGAAATAGGTAAATATAAGAATTTTGGGTGCTATAGATACAAAAACTCTTTTTTTAAATGGATAAACTTGACAAAATTTTAAAATAAATTATAATTTAAATATATTATATAATAAAAAATTTAAATTCTAGATAGGACAAAATAGTGCTCATAGTCACGTTTTCAATATTGAAATAGCACCTATTTGATGTGATTTTATAAAAAATAATCACAAAATTATTACTTAATTATTATTAATAATGAGTGTGTTTTAAATAGAAGCCTTATGAAATTTATTTTAAGCATTATTTAAGCACATCATTGATTAATGTTTTTACACTATTATTACTATTAATGAGTGTGTGTGAAGCAGGGTTATGTGAAATTCTATTTTAAGCACAATTTTGTGTTTGATAATTGATTAGCTGGTTAAATCTTAGAAACTATTTGAAAGGATAATTTGATATTATTTTAATGTGTTTAATTTTATAAATGTTTAATTATTAATTGATATGTCAAATAGTAAATTTGAATTTTAAGTTAATTTAAAGATTATGGTAATGAAACAAATCAAAAAAGGACATAAAATAACAAAAATAGGATGCAACAAAAATATATATATATATATATAATATCATTTGATATGTGCATAAGAAATTATTTGAAATTGTATGTATCCACAAAACATTAATGTATCTATTTACATAATCATAGTATTATATCAATCCAAAATGTATAGTGATATGGAACTCGGAGAAGTCGCTCTCATAAATGATGATCCACTATACCCTTGTTGTTAACATCTTATGATTTGCCACATTAGTGGCTTCTAATACCTCATATGTTGCGATTATCTGGCTAGGCATTGACTATTATAATGCTCTTTTGATACTGATGTTGATGGCGTCCAATAATAAAATGTATAATATGGCAATAAGGGCAGAGAATTTTATGTCATTCCCAAATATAAAGAATAATGTCAGAGTCTGTGGTTGTGTACAGTATGTGTTTCACTCCAATTCATGCCAAATGATGGTAACAACATGTAAGAATGAGCATCACTTGGATGCAAAGTTAGGTCTAATGATAACATGCCTGGATATGTAGCTGGTAAAGGGTCTATGTAATTAGATGGTCCAAGTTCTTTAACTTTGGGTGGAGATATTGCTTCACTAATGTTATACTGCCCATGATGAGTTGTAGGCCTACCATTAATAGCATACATGCTTCGCGAACTTCAATATATAGCTTCTCAGTCAGGTGCACTACAAGTTATAAGGGAATATCTTCATCCCAACCAAAGAATGGTTGCAATGTCTTTTCAACTTTAGAAAATATTGATGTTGGGAAGAAAATAATAAATATAAATTTATAGCATCTAAGTAATAAGAAGCACAAATGAAAAAATATATCATTATCCTCTCTCATGAGGCCTTAGGGTATTAAATCAATGGTGGATATATTAAGGTCTTCAACAAATATAGAGTAGCAGGTGATTTATATCTATATAGGTAGTTAATCAGCCATCCATCATCAACCTCATAATATTGTTTGGCATGAATAACGAGCTCATGTTAACAATACCAAAGTACAAAATGAGTATGATGAAAGTTGACTCAATCTACATCGACCCTCCCCTCACCATCAACTCATCAAAACTCCTTCTACATCATCTACATAGCAAAGCATTGTATAGCACCAATCTGTCTCATCAAGTGTTATTCAACTTGAGTCCAGCAAATGGATAAACATGCACTACAGGAAAAACATTAAAACCGACAGAAAAACTGATGGCTTTTTATACATAGAAATTTTTTTTAATTATTGAGGGTTTTGTGATTGTTTTTTATCTTGTTTATTTGCGACGGCATAGCTACAATATATATTGTCTCTTATCAATAATATTTTGTTTTCAATGAAATAACTCATTAGTTATAAGCAAATATTAACTAACGTCTATAGTTTGTTGGTTATCTTCAAACAAGTCATTTAGTGGGGTTTTAACCGACGCATTTTCTTATTAAGCGACAAGAACGGTCGTCGATAATAGTTTTAATAATTGACGCAAAAAAAATCATTGATAGGCCGTCAGAACTAATCATATATCCCACCCAAACCACCTCCCTTGTGGTCCTTCCCTAATCTCTCCTCCCAACCCTCTTCTTCTCTACCTGAATCCCTTGCCTCTCCCCAAAAATCCTTGCATGTCTCTCTTGATTTCGTCCAAAACCATAGCATTTGTCCCTGATAACCTCGTGATATAGTCAGAATAAGAGCTAGCTGGGAGCGCAGCAGCGGAATCGCAACTTACAATGACCAGAAACTCCCATTTTTCTTCTTCTTCAGCTCCTTTTCTACCCGAAAAGATCGAGGAAGGTAATATATTATCTTCATTTTTATTTTTTATTTTCATTTTCTTTGAAAAATGCATTTAGGGTTTAGGGTTTAACAACTAGAAGGTTTGTCCAATATTTTCATATTTTAGTTAGATTACATATAGGGTTGTGAGTTTGGTTTGGACATCGTTAATCACTCAAAGATTGACTCAAATTTTAGCTTGGTTTGAGATTGGATCGAAATAAATGAGCTAAGCTACGGGCCAAATTTTTAGATCAAATTTTTTCAAGTCGATTTTGAGCCGATCTCAGCTCAAAATCGGATTGTTAACAGCATATAACTGTGAATTTAGTGAATTTAGCTCGATAATCGCTAAAAAAATTGATTCAAAATTTGGCTCGGATTGAGATCAAGATCGGATCGAAATAAATGAGCCGAGCTACGAGCCAAAATTTTTTATTGAATTTTTCTCACGCTGACCCAAGCTCGGCTCGAAAATGGATCTTTAACAACCTAATTACATCAAGGATCGGCTTTGAGCACATATGTTTTTGCTTTATTTTTGGATGCTTTTACTAAACATTTACAGGAGGATGCACCTACATGTATGCTTTTTGTCGATGCTATTCTTCTTGTGTATAAGACTAGAGAAAGAGTTTAGGAAAAAACTTAAATTATGGAGGCCAATATTGGTGCGTAAACTCTTTCTTTTAAGTAGATCTAGAACTGAATACTTTAAATGTAATTTTAGTCATAGTAGCTCTAGTGGCAGAGTTGTGAACGTTCTAGATATCTCGGGTCTCTTGTTCAAAGTGATGGTGTTATAGATGGGGAAGTGATTACTTAGTAGATTTAAAGTTGGATGGTTGAAACTTTCATCATCTCGGCTCGAAGTCGGATCGTTTAACATCTTAATATGTTTATTCTGTCGAAGATCATTAAACGGTTGAACATTGACTCGTTATTGATTAAGGTGTCTCTCTAATAGTGCATGTCATTGTAACTACACTAGCCATCTCACAAATATATTTATTCCATAATTTGTCTCTAAGTGAAAAGTCAATCATGAATCTCATATAGATCACTGACTTTACACTTGTAAACAAAATGTGAATGAAATATACCCGTAAATGAGTTAGTGTAGCTATGGTGACAAACAAGATTAAAAAAAATATTTATAAATTAGACTTCGAATTTGATGTTGCAGTAAAAACTCTTATATCTTATGAAATATCTCCTTCTAAGAACATATTTCAGGTGTACAGTTAATCACGTATGTGGTTTGCGGCAACAAGTAGCTTAGTTTTATGATTGGTTTTACTTTTAGAAAATAAAGTGCAAAAAAAAAATAAACTTGTGCAAGGTTGGTGTAGCTATGATGACATATAATATTAGATCAGATAATTAGATCTACTACGACTCAGATCCTTTGATAGTTTATTAATGTTAGCTTCGTCAAAGATCATCATTGGTCGAATATTGGTTCTCAATTCATTAGGACAACTCCCTCTAATATTGTATGTCATTGTAGCTACACCAGCATTCACATAAATATATTTTCGTCATATTTGTCTCTGAGTTTCATAAACCTAAGCATCCTCGTTCCTACAAATTTTAACTAAACTCTATAGACATCAACTGAAAGTGGTCTAATAAGAGTTGTTGAGATGAGAATACTTAGGTGGATAAGTGGATTTAAACTTAGAGAGAAAATATCAAAAAAATTATACTCTTCAAAAGGGTTATTGTGGTTATAATGGCAACAATTATTAGAGGAAAATATAGTTAATTGTTTCTCAATAATCGATCTTCGACAAACCTAACAGCCTTAGCAGGTTGCTAACGTTCTGACTTCAGAGCTATCTAAAACATTCACTCATTTTAAAATGCATTGATTATTGTCAAGTTTCATTATCTTTTATTACCAATCGACCAATAAATCTACTAAAATAGTTAATACAATGTATTCAGCTGAATATATTTATAATATGTTTATTATTCTCATGTTTGAAAGTACACATGTGTAATTGCACATTGAGATCATGGATGTACGACAAACTTTATCTAGATAGAAAA